CAGGACCATTAAGCTCCACTCGCAGTCCGGTACTGGGCGCGGGGTGAGGAGTTCTCTACCCCGGGAGCTGCGAGTGGAGCGGGATTTATCGCTCCTGTCTCCGCGTAGTTACTGGAAACTAGCAAGGCGTCGACAAGAGCTGTGCGTTGATGGCCGGGGAAAGGAGATTAGTTGCTTTCTAGAAGGAACAGCCTCGTAGAGCAGTGCCAGCACTTCTTTCCGTGCTGAGGATGGGACCAGAGCAGAGAGCTCAGTATCCATCCGTGTGTGTCGGTGATGCCGAAATGCTCCGAGCGTAACAAGAACTGTCAGCGTAACCCATTTCTGCGTGAACTGTAAAATCCCCTACGTAAAATGGAATGGACGGATGTAATTGATCCAGATTTTCTTTTCCTTCTGCCTTTGGGTTCAAGTCAAGCTGCTTAAGAGAGCTTTCTGGCGTGCCCACCCTTGTCTTTGCTGTTCTGTTAAACAGAAGCCGTTCTCCGCATTGGAGCGGAGAGAATTTGGATCTAACCGGGCCCATGTTTAAGCTGCCCTGTTTCTTGGAGTCTTCCAAAACTGTTGCTGACCCCGTCGCCTGTCAGCAGCCTCTGTCGCAGGTATTAAGTTCAGCTAGGATGGCAGCCAAGCAGTCGCCACCGCGACTGGTGTCGTCAGAGAACAGTGTTTATCTGTGGCTGGCTGAAGCCTGATGTTGAACACGCCGTATATGATAATCTCAGATTTGCCCCGTTTATGCTCTTTCTGCTGTGGGGAGTTCTGCTGAGTGACATTGCTGCAAACCAGCCTGTTTCAGCTGAAAAGTTCATCAGACCGCTCTGTGCTTGCTGGGTTGACAGTCGGTCTCATTCACTCCCCTGTCTCTTGTGTTTCTGGTTAATCTTAAAAAGTGCTTTAATTTTAATGAGCTGGTATCTCTGCCCTTGAAGTGTTAATGCTGGTCTGTAAGAGGGTGGATCGGGCTGCGGGACGTGAAGCAGGATGGCTTTCAGGTTTCTCGGTCTTGCAGGGAAGGCTTTGCATACTCCTCGCCTTAGTTCTGCTTGATTCACCTCCAGCTTAAAACCGTGATTCACGTGAGTTGCATTTCCTTACCGGGCTCGTGAAAACGCTCATGGCTGGATTTCATGCCCACGGACTTAATGGGGACTAATGGAGAGCTGGGCCGTGTTGTTGCTGAGTGACGGGACAGGTAGTGTGTCCTGTGCGTTGGCACACCAGCAGTGAGCTGGGCTGGCTGGTGCTGACCTAAGCTCTTCCTCTCCCATCAGCAGCACCTCTCCCTAGGTAGTTTCTGTTAAAGCTGTGATGCAACACTAAATCTTCTCTCGGAGAGGTGTTTATAAGGTGGAGATGGCCTGGAAAGCCGCTGGAAAGAACTGGAGAGGTTAAAATTGAGTTCACTGCATCTGCAAGTAGGCAGGGTATAAGCAGATGCAACTGCCTCTGGAAGCAACTGCGCCTGCTTGCTTTGGCTCGGGCGTGTGCTTTCGCCTGGTTTATATCTGTGCTATTAATATTTATGTCTGAGGAGAGGTGAACTTTATCCTGAAAGCTGGCACAGAGAGCGGGGGAATGTCTGAGTGCACAACAACCTACCGACGGCTTCTGCTACAATAGGTGCGGCACAATCCAAATGGAAAACTGTAATTCCGTAACACGAGTCGCGCAGCAGAGGCTGGTGCTGCCGGGCTTCGGCTCGGCTTGGGTCTCCAAGGATTGTTGACAACCTCCTCTTCGGAGATCTCGCAGAAATAGCACAGGGTACTTAGCCATTAACTTAGGTGGTGTAATTCGATGCTATAAATTTATGAGATTAAATGTCTGCTTTAGTGGGGGAGGAAGTTGTCTCCTTTAACACTTTCCAGGAGTCCCGGGCAGCGTGCGTGCAGTACGGGTCACCTTGAGTTACGGAGCAAAGCGTCATCTGTCAAAGGAGAGGTTTTACTGGTGACCTTGCTGTCCCGTTTGAAAACTGCTTTGCCTGAACTTGCTCTTGTGGCTTTTTACTAACATGCAGTCCATCCCTTCAGTGGTGGAGAAATCAAGTCGGGATGTTTGAACAGACTTTTTTTTCTAATCTCTTGCAGAGCAAAGAGTGGAAGATGTACGACTGATCCGAGATCAGCATCCAACTAAAATACCAGTAAGTCTGGTTCTTTTCATTTTTCACTTCAATTTTTAGTCTCGTGTTCTTTTTTGTAGTTAGAAACCTGTGAAAGAGCTGTCTTGATGAGACCAAATTAAAATTTGGCCGTTCAGGGTTGTTAAGCCTGAATTTCGGAAACATTCTTAAACTGGTAACTGGCAGTGAGTGTGGCAGAGCGAGGTGCTAGCTGGGGACGGGAGGAAACGGGGTTTCCTGTCTATTGCAGTTGCATGTTGTAACTTCAAAGAAAACCACACCCAGGCTGAGCTCCGAGATACTCCAGAGTGTTCAGCTCTTCTCATCTCAGTGTTTTTCTTCTCCAAGAGTCTGCAAAGACTAACCAAGAAGAACACACAGTGATGTAGAGACAGATACGGCTTTCATCACCAGTGTGTGCTGAGAAAGCCAGAAACACTTGTCTTCTGGGAAACGGGCCTTTGCTTGAGGTCTCCAGAAATGATGCTTGGCTGTCAAACTCTTCCATCGAGTATTGGGCCACCTCAAAGAGGGGATCACCTCTCACTTCGTCACTCTTCTTTAGCTGGTCAGCTCCAAATGCTGCCTGGATTTTTATTTTCTTTTATTTATGGCATCCTCAAGGTTGCACATGCAAAGCTAAGCATCCCAGGAAACAAAAGGCAGCGATCGTGAGCTATTGCTGATGAGTTCTCACAACTGGGGGGCTTTTCTGTGATGGCTGTCACCGCAGTGAGCCATAAGTGCAGCCGTCCTTATGGCCGTTTGGTGGAACAGGGAAAGTCTTGGGAGATTTTAGGGGTCAGAAGAGAGAACTTGATTGGATACCTCAGCCTTTGGCTCTCAGTGATGAGAGCTGGTGATCCCTGTGAGTGGAAAATCTTCCGTGAACAAACGGCAAACCGTCTGCAGTTCCAGTAGGGATTCATCAGCTCCTGCAGTTGTTGCCTCCACGTCAAGTTGAAACCGAAAGATTTTCGGTTTCCCTTTAGCTTTTGAAGTGCTTCACCTCAAAGCTGCTGCTGCTTCACTACGCTGTAGGGCACGGGAACGAGTAATATTTCATAGCAGAGATTTTCTGACTTTTCTGGAGCACGCAGTTTTCCCGAAAGGCGTTTCCTAACAAATGTTGTTTCCTGACAGAAGATGGCTTTTTCACCCACCTGTCACAGATCACTTAGCTGTAGCCCCCAAGCTCTGTGACCACGGATTGACAGCCATTGATTGAGAGCACAGCTCTCATTTGAAGTCAGCTGTAGATGTATTACTAGCAAAAACTGAGAGGCACCCAAGCACCTTGCTGAAGATGCAGTGATGCACACTCACAACTATGGCAGAGGCCTGCTGGCATCCCTGGAGTCTTCCTGAGGTTGCCTGTCCATTTCCTAGCTTGACTCACTGCCTCGTTATTATCATTAGCAGGATGAGATAGTTGGCAACGTCACGCTAGATGGAAAATCCCTCCTGTGCTGTCAACATCCTTCATTTTACTGTTAGAAGTACTTTCTACTGGTTATGGTCTACCTTTTTCACAACAGCGTGGTGGGTTTTTTTTTTCCAGAATGAGCCAGCATTTATTTAAACTGGCGTAAGGAAGTCTTTCTCTGATATAATTAAATTGGCTCAATATCTCTTCACCTCCTGTGCTGTCAACATCCTTCATTTTACTCTTGGAAATACTTTCTACTGGTTATGGTCTACTTTTTTCACAACAGCATGGTTTGGGGTTTTTTTTCCAGAATGAGCCAGCATTTATTTTAACTGGCATAAGGAAGTCTTTCCCTGATACAATTAAATTGGCTCAGTATCTCTTCACCTGTGCAACTTTTGAATATCAACACAGCCAGACCCCGTGAGCATGGAAGCAGTCCAAGTGAATGGTGTCACATAGCTACTGTTGATTTTAAAACAACAAAACCCACATGGCTGTGGAGACAGGAGCGCACGAATTCTGAGATCATTTCTTAAAAGCAGGAACTAAATACAGTTGCTGGGCAGGGTGCTGCTTAAATTGGCCAGTCTGCAATTTCCTCGTGAGTTAAGCAGTTACTACATAACAATCTTGACAGAATTACTGGTTCCTGAGCGTGCTGTCTGGAGGTTAAGGAGGAGGAAATCCTCTCCTTTGAGGCTTCAGAACCTTCAAAAGTAGCTTCCTCTCGTGTGTTAGAGTAAGCATGGAAGGTGAGTGGAGCAGCATACTGATCTGGAGGTGTAGTTCTTAGAAAGAGATGGCCTGAAACTGGAGAGATGCTAGTGAAAACTGCTTGAGTTTGCAGACTTCCGTAGCAGCCCAGGTCAGCCACCGTAATGTGTTAGAGGGAAGCGTGCCGTGTCTTTCCTGAGGTTTCCTTGGGGCTGGGTAGTTCAGTGCTAGATTAAATGATGCCAGCAAGTGAACTGTTCTAAAACTGCACCAAAGCTGTGGATGCTGCTGTTAAACCCCTGCCTGTTACCCCTTCGTGCAGTGACTCCTGCAAAGAGAACAGGAGGAGCACGTGAAGATGATTACAGTAGTTCCTTTTCAGATTCCAGATCCTGCATTCACAAGTGAAGGGAGATGGAGTTCAGCGGAAATGCTGGTACTTTGCTGTGTTTGAAATGGAGGGGGGAGATGAGGGCACCAGACACCGTTCCTGCCTTTCACATCTTCTCCTCCTTTCTTTTTGTTTCTTCTTAGGTGATCATTGAAAGGTACAAGGGAGAGAAGCAGCTTCCAGTTTTGGATAAGACCAAGTTCCTGGTGCCGGATCATGTCAACATGAGCGAGCTAATCAAAATTATCAGGTAGTATGCCGTGATTTCAGTGTAAGCTGCATCAACCTCAGACTAGGATTCTTTGTTGATTCCCCACCTTGGTATGCATTTGGGAGTTCTCTGAATGGAGAATTCATCTAACGAGCGCTTGGTATCATCGCTAGGATAAATCCATGAGAAGGTGCTTTTCCTTTGGCTTGGCTGGAAAAAAAAAAAACTCTGAAAAGAACTGAGCTGTTAAGTCTGCGTTCAAGAGAAATAACTGGTTCCCAGAGGTGTAGGAGGGAGTCTGGGGCTGTGAATCCCTGTCTAACATGGGTGCTTCTGGCCCAGGGCTCCAGTGCTTCCTGCTTGGCTATTTTAGGATAACTTCTCAGTGTTCTGCCTGGGAGTCCCTCTCCGGAATGCCAGCCTCTTCCCACCCGCTGGAGGGGGAGCTTGGGCTCATAGCCAGAGCTCTGAGCTGTTGCTTAGGGTCGATGTTGGCATCTTTTGATCGTGAAATGAGGTTTCCCTCAACGACAGCGTTGAGGCCTGAAAAACACCCGTTCAGACCAGTGTCTTTTTGTCCCAGCTGTTGGCACAGGCTGTGGGTTGAGTACTGCTCTGCTCTGGTGCCTGAGCTTTGCTTACAAGAAAAGGCAAAGGGGAAGCAGCCATGGAGCAGAAGTTGTGTGGTCTAAAACTGCGGTCAGAAATTCTGCTAGAAGTAGGTTTCTCCTGGCTTAGGAGGAGTATTGGATTAGTAGGGGTTCTCAAGTGGTAAACTGGGAAGTTCACAGCAAACCAGAGTTTGCTTGTTGTTGGTCACGGTGTGGCAGAGAGTTGGTTTGTGGAGGCCACAAGGTGTGAAAACTGAGAGTTGTCCCATGTGTCCAAACAGTTCCCTGCTTCTGAGGCTGGTACAAAAACTGTCTGTCACAAGCAGATCCCAGCTCATACATGAATAAGGAAGTGGGATAGGGTTTATGAAGCAGGAACTGGATTACTTAGGTCTTCCAGAATTTCTCAAGAACATTAAAGGCCCTGGGCAGAAAGGTTCAGAGCAAGCTGAAGGATTTTCCAAACCTTTTTTCTTTGGCTTTATTGTTAATAGATGACTTGGAACCAGCTGGAGATGGTCCTCAGCCAGCTCCTCTCATGCATAGCGAAGCCCGTCCTTCCCAACCCTCAGATAGCTGCTGCCTTCTCTCAGCCTGCTGTCTCTGGAGTGGTTAGAGCTTGGTTTTGGAAGGGTCCTTTCCCAGAGCTGGGGCTGGGAGGCTAAATAAATCCTTATTTCCAGCTGCTGCTGCCCCTCAGCAGCGAGCGGAAGCGGCAGGAAGCTCTTCTGATCTGTGGTTCTGCCCTTCTTTCTTTGGTTGCACCTCCAGATATCCGACTTCCTTGTCCTTACTCGGTCTATGAAGTAGTAAGAGGGCTCCTCTCTGCAAATGTGCTCACCAGTAGTCAGTTTAGCAGAAATACCTATTTTCCCCAGCCGGAGTGGGCGATCCAAGGGATCCCCTAAGTTAGATGTTTACCGTGCCACGCAGTCTGTGAAGGCTGGTGCTCTCTGCCCTTTCCACCATGCTTCTCCTGGGAGGGAAGCAGAATGCTCCAAAGGTTAAACGAGGAGCATCTCTTCCTTTTCCCTTCAGTTTAACGCCCTTCTGGAGCACAGCTTTTCCAGTGACGTTTGACTGGACTCAGCAGATGAGTAAAATACAACTTTGAGGTGGGAAGCGAATGCCTTCTCCATGGGCAGGGCTGCTGTGGGTGGGGACGTGTCACTGCTGACAGTGGTGGAGGACTTTGTTTTGCCATCTGTCCTAAAGCCTGTGTTACCTTGAGTGGAAATGCGTGGTCATCACTGTGAAACTCCTTCCCTCCTCCGCTCCCCCCACCTCCCCCCCAACAGGCGACGCCTGCAGCTGAACTCCAACCAGGCGTTCTTCCTCCTGGTGAACGGCCACAGCATGGTGAGCGTTTCCACGCCCATATCCGAGGTGTACGAGAGCGAGAAGGACGAGGACGGGTTCCTCTACATGGTGTACGCCTCTCAGGAGACTTTCGGAGTGCAATCTTCTGTCTAAGACACGCGAGCGGCTTCTAGCCTAGGATTTTGGTTTACCCTTGGCCATCACCCCCACTCTTCCCCACACGCACCCCAGGGAAAGAAACGGATGTCACCTCCACTCTCCGTACCTTAGCGTAGTCTTGCTTTAGCAGGTGTCTCATCTTACCTTGCCTTGTTTGTGACTATTAAACAGAACAGACGAGCACCTCCAGCTTTGAAACCTGCTGTAATATTCCACACAGGCACATTTACATTTCTGGACTTGACGAACGGAACCCGGTTGTGCATGTGACAATTGCAAATAAAGGGACACTCGATTGACTCGTAACAAAGAGGCACCAGGGAGGAGCTAAAGTGTTTCCTGTGACAGTTTGCTGGAAAATCTCCCTATGATTCCTTAAAGTTTTTTGTTGTTTTTTTTAAAAAAAAAATGGGAAGGCTTCTCATGAGAGCAAATACATTTTAATGTTCCAAAGCGGAGCTTTGTCTTCTGCAGCTCGATGAGACAGTGCTGCAGCGAGTTGAGGCGAGTGCTTGGGGTGAGCTGGGGGAGAACAACTCTTTTTGTCTCCGTTTTTTTTTTTTGTGGCACTGCAAAACTTAGGAACGGTGCCAGTTTCTGAAATACTCATACCAAACACCACAGCTTTATTGTAGTTTTAGGAAGTTGTTTAACTGTAAAATACACACCTGGACAGGCAACATTGAAACAAACTCCAGTCTGTTAGAAATTTCCAATATCTGTGCGTTTAGTGAAACACTATTGTTCATACGAGCTCGATTCCAAAAGATCATCCCCCCCCAGCCAGGAGGTTTGCCATTCCCTTGCCCGGCAGAGAGTCTGCTGGGAGAAGGTAGCCGAGGGACTGGGGGCTGTCGGATGTGTGCACCTGAGCTGCGAGCAGAGCCCGTATCGCTGGCGGTCTCGGGAGCGCTGCCCGGCCTCGCCGTCTCCATCTGCTCGGCGGGGTGGGCGCATGGAAGCACCTCCGTACCGACCGCCGGACTCGGGACGTGCCACTGGAATTACGGACTCATGCTGCCTGTAGCCAGCCTGTCACTTGTTTTGCATGTCAGCACCGGGGGGGGTCAGGGAGAACTGCTTTTAGAAGCAGCTCACGCCCAGGAGTTGCTTTTTGAGAGTTGACGAACAAACGATTTATTATTTTTTTTTCCCATCGCTAAGTCTCCTGCTGCTTGCACGGGGTTTGGAAGATGGTGGGTGTTGCTGCTGTCCTGAGCAGGGAGGCAGCGTGTGGAGAGGAAAGGTCTCTCGTAGGAGCTGTGGTTTTCCTCCAGGGTCAAGTGAAGTGGAGCAGGATGAGATTCCTCTTGTATATTACGTGTCTGTGAACTAACTACATCTGTTACTGGAAGCTGATTTACTACAACGGGGGGGAAAAGAAGCAATACTACTGCGTCCTGGCACGCTGGCTCAGTAGGGTGTACAGTTTGTACCTGTCTACACCTCCTTGCATGCATCTCGTTCACGCTTCCTTCTGATTTTTTATGGTTCTTTGTGTTTTTACTCCAACGTGAACTTTTAAATGCCGCTTGTTCCGTGTTTAGTTTTGTTCGTGTAAGAAATTGTTTAACTCATAACTGACAACCATACTTGTAATTACAACGTGATTGACTGATATTCCTGTACAAAATGTTGCTTTTTTTAAAATTAATACAGTGCTGATACGGATGGGTTACATCCCAACTTCATGCTGGCTTGTGTGGTTATTTCTGGACACCTTGCTTAAAGTGGACCGCTGTAGGGAGGGGGCACAGGGAGGTCTGTTCCACCTGCTCCAGCACGCACGAGGTGGGGAACTGGGTCCTGCTGACAACCACCAGACACTTTGTACTGAAACCTTGGATCCTGATGGTCATGAACACCTCGCAGAAGGAGCTACCGCCCTCCAGAAGGAGGAATTCCAGGTGTAAAGCAGTTCTGCTCTCTAGATGGGTGTGGACCAGCGCGTGCCCGCACGCAGACATGGTGCCATATCCCTGTTTCGTTTCTGCTCCTGCTCGACCAACCTCTCCCTCAAGGCTTCAGAATCCTGCTGCTCCTCAGGAGTGACCCTGGGCACCAGCCCCAAAAGGTTTAAGGTTTTTGCTTACCCCAACCTGCAGCTGCTTATGCAGATGTGCCCTGTGTGAGGGGTGAGCCAGGGTGGCAGAGCAGAGCCCGGGGGGCTCGGCTGGTGCCTTCCCTGCTCCTCCTTCCTCCCCTTCCAGCTTCCCCTTCCCTGTGAAATGGGGGATGCGCTGTAAGGGATCTGTGATTCACGAGCAGATGTGTGTGGGTGGAGAGACAGCAAAAGTAATAAAGGGAATTTAAAAAAAAATAATAATGTCCCTGGTAACTGCCAAGCTGGAAAAGCCCCCCATGCAGATGAAACCCCTTTAAATTAAAAAAAAAAAATACAAAGGGATTCTGTTTAACTCTTTATTTTCCATACATTAAATTTACTCAGATAAAAACATTCTAAAAATGTACAATTTTACTTTTAACAAAGTATAATAAAACATAAAAATCCCAATACCAGAATACTTGACATTTACAATTCAAAATCAAATTAGCTGAATATTAAATATTTACAAAACTATTTAAAATATTTATAAAGTTACATGCACAATTTGTAATACTAGAATTGACCGAAGTAAAAGAAATGGCTCAAATGGGAGCAGGAGTTTCCTTCATTCCTAGTGGAAAGTCATGTCCAAGAGAAGCTGTTAATCTGCACTTGAAAACACACAGGATTTGCTTTCTGCTTCAGTACCAACACGTTTCTTGCTGACGTAGGAAAAATTGAAGAGAGCAGACGGGTAGTTCCAAGGGTTTACTACAAGCGGTGGGAAGGGCTACCGGGGCCTCGACCACCAAAAGTGTTTTCCAGGCTCAATTACATGGATTTCTGTCCAGCTTTGCCCACACCCATCTCATTTAACAGGCGTTGCAGGCTACCCCGCATCCACAGCTCCGCGTATCCGTGCCCTGCGATGAACAAAGAGACAGCTATCCCACAGGCAGGGGTTCCGGATGACGGCGTTATTTCGGGAAGCAGCGCTGCTCTGCTGAACGCCGCGGACTACGTTTAATTTTGGAGTGCCAGGGAGAAACAGCACGAGCCAGAATCGTGGCTAACAGGAAAGCTCTCGCGTTCGACTGTTATTTCCAGAAGCTTGGCGCTTAATTCACCAAAATCTAACGACGTGGTGGTATGAAAAAGTTCCACAAAAAGCGGAGTGCGACGTGCTGTTTTAAGGAAAAGCCTCGTGGAACTCTCGGATGGATGCCCCGCTTGCTAAAACAAGGCTTCCCTCTTCGCCCTCCTGCTGTTCAGCGTCGAGCCTGGCGTATTTATTAATGCTTCATTTGCAGACTGCCAGCGTGAGGAGGAGTTTGCTGGAAATTCCATCCTGTTTCCGGGATTTCCATCACCAACACTCCCAAATGGAAAACGCTTCTGAAACGGCACCGCGCGTCTCTCGCTCCCCCAGGGGAAGAATCATGGCCAACTTCTCCGTGCCCCTGCAGGGAGGTGACTTGGGATCCCCTTCCGTCTTTACACTTAAAAATCATTTCTATTCCACAGTGAAATCCATTTGGAGAATTAATTCTTCTTCTACTTTTGAGACAAAGACAGGAATAAATAGCATTCTTTGAAATCTCCATCTTTCAGTGTATAAAAATAGGTTTTAAGAACTGGTTCTTTCAGCCAGTGAAGCTGGAACTACTATTCTAAACCAAGCTGCCTTACTTTTTTTGGGGGGGAAAGATGGATTTGTGCCTTTTAAAAACAGATTTAAGGATTGTTTTGTGGAACTAAAGTGCTCTGTTCGGACTCACCCACTTTGGTTGTTCTCGGTACAAAGTGGACAGCGTTCGGTAGCAGATGCGAAGCCACGAGTCGCTGGGATTTAGGGAAGGCTCTGCCATTGCTGCTGGCTCAGCAAACATTCCTCCGTTACACTTGTGTTGCTTTAAGGTACTCAAGACTTCTGAATTTAAACTTACTCTAAAACCAGACTTCACCATTTAAAAACGCTACCTAAAAGGACACATAAGCCACTTTTAAGAAACATCAGCCTTAACTTTACACAAAGGAAACAATCCCAAAGAAAGCTCTGAAGAAAGGAATGAAACAGTTTGCTGGACAGGAGTTCAGTTTTACAGTCCTTTTGTTACGGTTTTGACTCTGTGATGAATATTAGACGAGACTCTGTGCCCAGCCCTGGGCGTTAAAACAAAACGCAACCGGTACAGAATTTCTTTTTTTTTTTCTTTCCCTGTTGATTTTTGCTATTTTGAGAGGGTTTTTAACATGTGTGTTGAAATACAGTTTATTTAAATACATTTCGGTTTTAAAACACTGTTTAAAAAAAGTGGGAAAAAAAAAAGAGAAAAAAAAAAAGTTAAAGTTTGGCTTTCAGCACGTTCCAGGCCACGGGAGAGACCCTCAAAGCTGTAAAGAGTAAACATCGTCTGAAAACTGCACGTTTCCTTCAGCGTAATTATGACAGATTGTTCCTACCATTGTCTCAAGCTCGTTAAGGCAAAGTAAATTGCATTGTCAGGTTTCATCCCTTTAGTGTTGCAGGTCTGGAGGTGGTTCAGCA